TGTGGAAGGATTGGGAGGATAATTCTGACACTGTCATTTGGGAAAGCAGCTCAGAGGTTGGAATTTGTCCCCAAGTGAATATTGCATGGCTGCAGCTGTGAAACTGTGTTACTCACAGGGAAAGCTGGAGTTTTCCTTCTTAGTGATGACAAGGATCAGTTTTCTCTTCACATGCTGCTCATATTTGTTCACACTGGGAGTAAAATGTGGTGTCATGAACACAGCTTCAATTACTTTGAGATGTCTTGCAACACAAGAAAATAAATTACCAATACATCCATCACTTAGAATTAGTTTATTCTGACCATCTGTGCTTTATACACCTTTTCTTAAGAACAAAAAAAAATGATTTTCAGCATAGGCTGTGCTTTTAGTTTATGTATAATGCAGATGAGGGGAGAAGCTAGCTAGAGGCAAAATCAGAGTTTAGCTTGGCTGTTCATAAGGGCGACCTTTCCTTTAAATTCCCTTTTTTTCACCCTGCACATCACAGAGATTTAGAACCCTCATTGACTGCAGAAAACCCAGCTCCAGGAGGACAAAGGATGATATATTCTCAGCGAGTGTGTAAAGTATAGTAGTTCTAAAGACAATAAATGCAGGGTCGCATTAGGGCACAACAGTTAATTACCCACTTCATTATTGTCAAGGTTAATACAGTATTTGAGCACAGGGGCTGTTTCTCATCTGCTGCTGGAGGCCAGGCAGGACAGCCTCGGTGCCAGGCAGATCCATTACAGCTTATCAGGGCAGCACAGGCGCTGCAGAGCCCCGTGAGGGATGGCTGCTGTCACCAGGGACACGCAGGGAGCTGGGCCCAGCCCCAGGCACGGGCCCTGCACCCCACAGGCGTTCCTGACTCCCTGGACCAGGAATGGACCGGGGTGGGAGATGCTGCTCACTCCCAGACATTCAGAAAGGTTTATTAAACTCTATCAAGAATACATCAGATGACTGAATAGAGAAAAGATTATGGCACTGGGAGCAGAGGAGCCTTCCCACCAAGTGCTCACCCACACAATGGAGGTTTCACCTTTTAACTTTTTGGCTCTCCCAAAGTTCTGTCCATCGACTCCTTTTTCACTGCCCAGTGCTGGAGATCACTGCCTGACACCTTGACTGGAGCTCAGGTACTGCCATAGTGACAGTCCCACCCTCCCAAATGTCCCAAACCCAGGGAACTACTGATAACAGCACAAGGAGGTAAAACACAACTGATCTAGAGAACTTCTCCTAACATGCATACATGATATTTGCATTTAACTGTGAGAGTCAGCCATGGCACTGCTCGTCTGTCCCAAGGGAAATGGCAGCAGGAGATCCCTGGCACTCCTCCATCCGCAGGAGCACCCATCCCTCCTGAGCTGCCCTTAATGAGCACCGTGGGTATGGAGCCCTGGGGGAGCTGAGGGGCTCAGTCCCACTTTTCCAGCCAGGAAAGGCGCTGTGCACACTTCATTGCAGGATCTCAGCAGGCACAACAAAGGCCTTGGAAATCTGAGCCCATCAAGCTTGGCAAGGGATACTTTGCTTTTATCTGCTTTGCCTGCAGCAGCCCTGAAAATTCCATAAGTTTAAAAATGCAAAGACCAGTAAGTGGGTAAAAAAAATTCATAAAACAGTCTCTGTAAATATATCCAGAATACAGAGACAGAGTCCCCTCCTCCTCATATTTTTTTTTCAGTTTATACAGCCATTAAAATGAGAAAAACTAGTCTAGTTCCTATGCCACTAATTACCATTATATCTCTTTCCATGATGGCCCTTTCCTGTTACATTTTCTTTCAAGGTTTTTGTTTTGCTTTTTAATTAGAGCTCAGATTTCCCATCATTTGTGACTCCTGTCATTGGATGTATATCCCATGAGGTTTTCCCTGTGCTCACTGATCCAGTGCCCAGATCCACAATCCCAAACCAAGACCCCACATCATCAGTCCAGCTTTTCCCCCAAAGTCATTCCTTGGAGCCTGCCTACTCCCTGTGGCCTGGCACTAACATTGGGCTTTCAGGTTTGGGAATTTGGGCCATGCTCATGGCAGCTCCCAATCTCAGGCTTCTTTCTGCAAATCCTGTGCTTCCCAGGAAAGCTGTGGGTGCTGGCAAGCCCAGCACACACTTTCTCTCTAGTAAATCACTCCAGGACAAGCTAACATGGTGCAACATATGTTTTATTCTTTATAACATCTTACTTGATTTAGTTTTTTAATTTTGATACTCTGCTCATACTTACAGAACAATTACTTTAATTAATTACTCCTTTACACCAATACCTTCTTCAGGATATTAATTTGTTTTTTAAGCCTAGTAAATGGTTCTCCCACCAGGGAGTTAAACAATGTACTTCAGAATTGTGTATAGACATTTAAAGTTCTGTTCAGATAGCAAACCACTTGACAATATAGAGTATTTCACAGGGTCTTGGTGAAACACTTCCCAAATTTTCTTCTCCATGGACACTACAGTTCTTTTGATAAGAATGGTGCTGGATATTTCCTTGGAAAAGATCAAGCTGGTGTAGGCTGCCTGATTGAGCCTGGGGGCATCTCACCAAGTCTGGCCTTCCATATAAGGGAAATGCAAAATTTAAAAACAAGCCAAAGCAAATAGAAATATTATTGTTGTTGTTGTTAGAAATAATTAAGTATCATAATTGATAATAATTGTTATTCATAGTAACAAAGCACTGACTATTCAGAAGGTGTGCCTCTGGAACAGGTAAGTTTTATCCTCCCTTTGTGCTGGCCATTTTCATTTTCTTATGGAAAATAATCTGAAGCCAGTAGGAATTGCAGCCATCACACTTGCAAGTCACTGTTTGCCAGTGATCATCCTTAAAATGCTGGGATGAAAGAGATGGGGTTTAGTTCTTAATCCCCTTCACTTCACCAGTCAGGATGAGACAGCACTGAGGTCCCTGAGCTGTCCAGGACAGCTTCACCAGGCTGAGGCTTCAGTGGCAAATGCTTTTTTTTTTCTTTTTAAACCAGAATTTCCTGTAAGATCATTTTACTATTAGTGCTATTTTTAAATCCCCATAATCAAAAAGGTTACTCCCACGCACGCACCTGTCTGCAGAAAATCCCCAAACTGCAGGGATTTGTCACCAGTGAATTCCCTAACAGAAACACTCAGCTGCATTCTTCAGAGGGTGTCTGGAAATGCAGACAGCAGAGCGTGCCTGGAGGAGCAGAGGGGCAGCTCCTGTTCCCTCTGCTCCAGGGGCTCCCTGTGGCTCCTGGGCACACCCAGGGGAGCTCTCCTTTGGGCAGGTCCCCTGGAGGTGTGAAATGGGCACTTCCCTCCTGGGCAGGCCCTGCACAGGGGTGGCAGCCGGGTGTTTCAATCTTGTTTTCAATTATAAGCATTTCATTGTCGAATGTTGCTGCTTTATTATGTGATAATTAAATATGAATGATCGTGCAGCCATCCTGCCTAAGAGGCTGGAGCAGAATTAAACCAATCCCTCTCATCCTGCTGAATGGCTTTGGAGGTGAAAGGAGTGATCTATTTGCTGTCTCTTATTTTTGCTGTCCTATTGTTTCAGTGCCACGGGCTTCAAAATAGCAAACCAGGCAAGGAATTATAGACATAAATCAGAGCAGGAGGCAGTGTGAGGTCAGGACTGCTGTGCTTCTCACCTGCCTGTTCTCAGCTGCCTTTTGCTGCGAGACAAAGCAGTGCATTCCTGTTAATTTTGTGATCTTGCTAGTGATTGAATGCTTTTTCAGACAAAGTTTGAATCCCTGAGTGCTGTCAAGCAGGAGTTGAGCAGTCTCACTATGCTTAGAACAAGTGCAGAGTGACCAGGCTGGGTCTGGAATGCTGTGGTTGGTGTCCAGTGTTCCATATTCAGCATCTGCCACGCCTGCTTGGTTCCTGATTCACCAGGCTCAGTGTGCAGCACTTCCAGAGAGGGGAATCTCCTTGGGGTGACCACGGTGACTCTGTTGAAAAGCTCAGTGAGTTAAGTAAGATGCAGCCAGAGATATTTAGCCAAAGTAAATCAGCAAAGTAAATGTGTTTTCAGTGGAGCCTGGCTGATTTATGGCCCTGGCCACCAATCTGTACATCTTACTCTGGTCAGGTGTTTGTAAACGTGCAGTGGTGCTCAATGGCAGGGCCCAAGTGAGAAATGGATGCAGCCACATGTTACAGCCCTCAGGTGGTACTGGCTAAAAAATGAAATATTTCCTGAAGGAGAGCTGTAACCACACACTGCTCACTTCCCAACCTAGCAGGGGCAGCAGTGTTTTGGGCATAAAGGAGTGGGATGGGATCTGTGGAGGGCTTGGCAATAGTGGGACACAAACTGTGCCAGCACTTGGCATCCCTGATATGGGTGTCCCAGAGCCATGGTTGTGCACCCTGGCTTGCTCGATGCTATGTGTTACAAGGAGATGGAGTTAACGTTTTCCCTCTTTCCCAAGTGTCTTTTATGCTAAGTTAACTAAGAGGCAGTCCTCAGTGGGATTCTGCTGCTCAGGAACATCCTGTTTTATAAAAAAAGAAAAAACTAGGAAAATTCAGTGCCTGCTTAACTGTATGCTACTTTTCATTCCAGCAGTTTGTTAAAGTAGCACATGGAAGTGACCACTCAATGATTCTCATTTAGCTTATCCATGCCCTGAAAATCTGACTCAGCCCACCAGTGTTGCTTGATGCAGACAACTGACTAAGAACAAATGGAAAATAAGTAGTGAGTTTGGATGTCTCTATTGTTGGCTGCTGAACACCCACCTCTGAAATTGGGCTTTTTGAGAGTGTCTTGGGGTTGCATGCCAAATCCCAGCTTGTGATCTGCACTGTATTTAAACATTTCTTCACGTCCTACTGTAATTATTTATTGAGGATTTTTTTTAAGCAATGAGATATGTGATGAAGACCATAAGACATTGCTATGGGTAGTCCTGGGTGAATACAGATGTTCTTCTTTTTGGTGTTTTTGTGGTGAAATACAAAACAAAAGCCAGTATTTGACCAAAGCCATTTTGTGTTGGCAGACCATTGTTCGGGGGAACAAGCCTCGAAAGGACACTTCGATCAACGGGCTGCTGGAGGAGTTTGACAACATCTCGGTGACCCGCTCCAACTCCCTGCGGAAGGAGAGCCCTCCCAGCCACCACCAGGGCAGTGCCAACCACGTGTCCCGGCCCCAGGAGGAGAATGGCTACATCGTGTGCTCGCAGTACTCGAGCGAGTCGGACAGCACGGCCGAGAGCGGCGCGGACCGGCTCCGGGACAGGGCCCTGTGCGGGGACGAGTGGGACCGCTACTGCCAGGGCAGCCTGGCCGCCAGGCACAACGGGCACCTGCTCAAGGTCACTGCCCGCGACTTCTACTACTCAGAAGTGACCCCCCTGCAGTCAGAGCTGTCCAGGTTCCTCCCGGATTACCAGGCGCACCTGGAGAGCAAGCCCAAGGCGCTGGAGTACGGGGGCCTGAGGCTGGAGTACCAGCGGGTGCCCAGCGGCTCCTCCCTGGACTACCGGGATTCCTTCCCCTACGCCCCGTCCCGGGCCTCGCTGCAGAGCGAGGGCCCCAGGGACAGGCTGGACTACGGGGACCCTGACTGGGGACACGGCCTCGCCAGGGAGGACATTGACAAGAGGCCCAAGTCCTCCTACGTGGACCCCGCGAGCCCCCAGCCGGCCATGAGGCAGAGATCCAGGTCGGGCTCGGGCCTGCAGGAGCCGGCCATGCCCTACGCAGCCAGCGCCTTCAAAGCTCACCAGCAGGGACATTCCTACAGCTCCTACACCTACCCCCGCCTGTCCGAGACCGCAGCAGGAGTGCCCAAGGTAACCCAGCTGCCAGGGGCTGCTCCAGGGCGGGGATCAGCCTGTGCACAGGGGCAGGGCCAGGAGCGAGGGCAAGGAGCCGTGCGTGGGCACACCGTGCCAAACGGGGCTGGGAACGGCCCCAGAGTTGTGGGGCTGCTCCTTGGCAGCCTTGGAAACCCACCCACTGTACCTGGGTGTTTGGAAATGGATGTCAGGGACCACTGGGTTTGAGATACTTATTGAAAGGCAGGTTTGGAGTGCCCATCTTCTGGGGATTTTATTTGAAATTCCCAGTAAATGCGAGTTCTTTGGCAGTTTTTTGTAGCTTCAGGAGTTCCTACACCTGAGCAGATCTATAGCAGGAGGTGAGACACTGGTCTGGTTTGTGTATCAGATACTTCTGTGTTTGAATTGTTACTGTGCAAGGCTGAAATCTCAGTATTTATGCTGTGTTTATGCCACCTTTATGTTACAAGGTTTATGAGCTCCTCACTGCTCATGAGAGTAGGGGCTTAGTCCCTTCTGCATTGTTTTTAAGCATTGAAATGAAGTCAAAGCAGCTGACCTCACCCAAGACATTTTAGATGTAGTTTAAAAAAAGGGTTGATATGCAAGAAAACATTTCAGCCATATTATGTAGAGGCTGCTCCTCTCCACAGATCTGTCCCTGCTCTGCCACATGAAGTGTGTGACCTGCACAAGCTCTCCAGCCCTGCTTGCAGCAGTGTGCTGTGACCACTTGCTCAGTTCAGAGTGCTTTTCTCACACCTCTAGTAGCATAACCATGATGACCTTCTTAAGCATCTAATGCTGTGCAAGAGATGCCTTTTCAGTATAGTTTGCTCTGAACATCACTGAGTTCCCCTAGCAACGGGCACTGTGGTGATCATTTTTCCAAGTCTGGGGTTGCTGTGACTTTTCACATGCTGAGGTGGGTGACTGTCAGTGGTGAGATGTGTTCTTCTCTCTGATGATAGCTGGGCAGTGCATTTGCTTACTGGCTGTGTCCTGCTGCAGTGCCAGGTCTGCAGATCCCTGACATCCCTGGGTTGGAGCTGTGCCAGTCTTGTGCCTCCCTAGGTCTGGCTGCTTTGCCATTACCGTGGTGCAGTGCCCATGGGAAAGGGTGAGCAATGCAGTTTTTGTCCCTCTTTGCACTGGAGCACAGAGCCAGGCTTTGGAGCTTCAGGACAAACCCTGGGGGGAGCAGAAAAGTCACCGGGTCTCTTTAGGTGCCTTTCCAAAGCTCAGGGTGTGGTGGGAGGAGTGTGTGTGGTAGTTACACCAGTGAGGCATTCAGTGTGGATTCTGGAAGCTGGGAGGAAAATCTGGGCTGGGTTAGCTGCCATTTCCTTTACTGAGAGCAGTCATTTTGTCAGAGTTTAGAAAAGAGGAGGGTAAATCCAGAAATGCAGAGACCCTGTAGCACCTGCTTCTGCCAGTTTTACAGCAATCAGTAGGGCAGAAGACACAGGTGTTTACTATAGGATTCCAGCACTTTGAAAAATACCCCATTAAAATGCAGTAACAACTTTCCTTTAAAGAAATATATGCCTCTGTGCAAGATTCATTGTGAGCTGTTCCTCTCCTCAGAGCATCAAAACCACTCCTACAGCCTTGGTGTATTGAAACTTGATGATTCACTGTTAAATGCAGCAGTTCAATTCCCAAACCTGTCCACAGCTCCTGCAGGTGAATAGGAGTTTCTTGTCTTGGATGATTGCTGAAGAATCTTCTTTTCAAGGAGGCATTAGTAAAATAATGGTTCATCAAATGAGCTTACTAAATGAGAGTCAGATTTCAAATCAGATATTTTACAAATGAGATTGGGTTTAAAGTATAATTAAAAGAGGTGAAAAAGTAAGTGAAAAAGTCTGCAGGCACAAATGTGTGGCATCAAAGTGCCTGTAACAAGGATGTTCATTTTGGCTTGTGAATGTGAAAAGCAGATTTACTTCAGTATTATTTGCAGGTAAGAGATGTCAGACCAGTCAAATGTGTGCGCTGTTTCATCATCAGGGATTTCAGAGTTGTTACATCAGAGGCCTTGCCCTGCCCTGGGCATGGCCACTGCCGTGCAGTGGAACCATGGAGGTGTAGGAAGCCAGAGGCTCGGATTTGCCTCCCTTTGAGCCACTCCTGTGTCAGCCTCTGCTCTCCTGTCCTGCAGACTGGCTCCAGGACACCTGCAAGGAGCTGCAGAGTCTGCTGTGTCACCCTCCCCACACAGAGCTGGTGTCCCACCTCAGTATTGTCTCACAATATCGAGTTCATTCTTGGCTTCTCTTTGGCCACTCTGTTCTGCATGGGGTTTTTTACCCTCCTCTTCATCACAGGCAGCCCTCCTAACTTCTGCACCAAGCCCTATTACTTCAAAGCTCCTTCCCCTGTCATTTTCCAGGAGGAGCTCTCTGGGACCCTGTCCTGTCCCTCTTTCAAGGGCCCATGATGTCTGCTCCCCCTTTGCTGCTGTAATGCAGCAGAGGTGTCTCACCTGGTCCCTGTGTCCCTCTGTACCACGGGCACATTTCCAGCCTGGCAAAGGCAGGGCCAAGCCTTTGCTGTCAGAAACCCCCTCCTTTTCCCCTCTGTTCCCATTCCCAGCCAGCAGCTGTGTGTGAGCGCTGCCTGCCACCTCTGTGTGTGGAACAGGCAGTCCTGGGGCTTTGCCCAGAAAAGCACCAGAGCCAGACCTTTGCCTTTGTGGTCTCAGTGTGGGTTACAGACCATCCCTTCTGCACCTTCCCCTGGCAGACTGTGCAGGCGTGGGGGATGCCACTGTGCCATGATGAATGTTGTGCCAGAGCTTTGGCTGCTCCTTTGACCTGATCTGGAAGGAATGCAGGACTGCTTTCTTCTTTCCTTTGTAGCATTTAAAGAACTTCCATTCAGTAGGGGCTGCATTCAGCAGCAGAAATGGAATGATTGGTGGAGTAAAGTGCGTTCATTTTGCTGTGATGTGGAGCACTGTGTCAGGACACAGCCTTGGAGGAGAGCTTCAGTGACTTACCCATGGTAGCTCCTGACTACTTGTAGCATTTCTTGGGATTCAGGAAGTGGGTTTACATTGTGCAGCAATGCTAACCTCAGAAAGGCTCTGAAAACTCTTAGCAAGCACACTGAACCCCTGAATGTTCATTCTAAAATTCTACTGCAGAATATTCTTTGGCCAGTGTGTTAAGCCTGGGGCATACTCAGAAATACCAGACATGGGCAAAGCCTCAAATAATTCATTAGCGTGGATTTATCCAGCTTGAATTTCTAGACCAGGTTTTCCCTATCTCAGTGGTTATAAAGAAAATGGTGTATTTACAGCCAAAGTAATAAATTATTTGTCCCTACATACACTGATATATAGGACAGGGTTAGATTGAGTTCCCCTCCCTCCACCAAACCATCTGAGCACTTCTCTGCGTTAATTAGTTTGGCAGATGTAATGTCCTTCGTGAAATTCATGTGTCTGACTCCCTTCTGTTTGATGGCCATCCCTGCCTGCTGGAGTAAGGGAAATGATGCTGTAATGGGGTGGGTTTCTGCCTCAGCACCCCCAGCACGCTGGGAGGTGACTGCACAGCCCTGCTGCTGCTGCTGCTGCTGCTGCTGGGTGCTCCTGATGGAGGGTGGGTGGGTGGCTGTCAGCCCTGCAGGAGGCAGACTCCAGCCCTCCCCAGGAAAGCCTCTGGGCAGCCCCTCTGCAGGGCATTCCCTCCTCCTGCTAGGGCTGTGCTGGGAAGCCTCTGGGCAGCCCCTCTGCAGGGCATTCCCCCTTCCTGCTGGGGCTGTGCTGGGAAGCCTCTGAGCAGCCCCTCTGCAGGGCATTCCCTCCTCCTGCTAGGGCTGTGCTGGGAAGCCTCTGGGCAGCCCCTCTGCAGGGCATTCCCTCCTCCTGCTAGGGCTGTGCTGGGAAGCCTCTGGGCAGCCCCTCTGCAGGGCATTCCCCCTTCCTGCTAGGGCTGTGCTGGGAAGCCTCTGGGCAGCCCCTCTGCAGGGCATTCCCTCCTCCTGCTAGGGCTGTGCTGGGAAGCCTCTGGGCGGCCCCTCTGCAGGGCATTCCCTCCTCCTGCTAGGGCTGTGCTGGGAAGCCTCTGGGCAGCCCCTGTGCAGGGCATTCCCTCCTCCTGCTAGGGCTGTGCTGGGAAGCCTCTGGGCGGCCCCTCTGCAGGGCATTCCCTCCTCCTGCTAGGGCTGTGCTGGGAAGCCTCTGGCAGCCCCTCTGCAGGGCATTCCCCCTTGCCCCCAAGGCCCTGGTGGAGTGAAGGCAGGCCCAGCAGCCCTGGTGGCTCACAGGGAGGTGGGAAAGGCCAGCAGAGAATTGCTCTGGAGGCGCCTCCAGCCCCAGGCTCCTCCTCGCGGTGCAGAGCCCGTGCTGATAAATTGATGCTGCGGCAGATTTTTTTTTTTTCTTTTTCTTTTTTCCTTTTTTTTTTGCAGTCTTAGCATAAAATGGTCAAATGATGTTCCACCGCAGAATTCAATTTCACAGTTCAGTTGGGTCCTTGATTACACTGCCAAATTCAGATTAATGTGCATTTAACTAACATGGATCAGGGACTCCTGGCCAGCAGCCAGCAGTAATAGTAGCAGCCGTGAGCTGTGTAGAGTTTGCTGCTCTGTCCATCCCTGTGCACTGCCACTGAAATTGATTGATTAAATGAACTCATTGCCATAATTATTTGTAATTGTGCTACATGATGAGCCTGTGTCAAACCGCCCCCCTGCCCTGAGATGCTCCACACATTGTCAGGAGTCACACATTGTAAATTTGAAGATGTTCTTTTCCAGAGGAAAAAAATATAATTTTTGGATAGGGTTTTTTTTTTTTGTTCTACATCTTTTGGAGGGGTTTTAGTTTGGATGGAAGCAAGCAAACCATTAAGTTTGTAAATGTGGAGTATTCATTAGCCTTCAATATAAGAAGCTTAGAGAAGCTTGGAAAATACAAAAAATAGAAAGGAACCTACAAATGAGCCAGGCTTCCCATTGGGATAATTTCCTTTGCGATTTTCTCTGATTTCAGATGAAAATTAGCAGTTTTGTGACACTGCAGTTAAGTAGTGTGTCGCTGTGGAAAATGATTTAAGAAATGGTGAATTGAATTAGGCTCCTCATCAAACTCACGTAAGCAGTCACTCAGACAACAGCTGGCAGCATGGCAAGACAGGAGATGACAGGGATTTTAGGGTACCACCATCTCCACAGGAATGGGTTGGGTTATCCCTGAATTGCTGCAGAAAAACATAAGACAAGGCTAACAGCTGAGAATCAAAATGCAGGTACTGGTAAGACACAGATTGAAATTTGCTAGAGGGCGAGTTTTATGGATGTGACAGGGATGGAGTCTTGCAGGAAATGGCCCAGAGAGCCTGCAGGGCACTGCAGATGCAGAGCAGATACACTTTTTTAAGCACAGATCCCTTCCAGTGCAGGCCATTCTGTGATTCAGCAAAGACTCTGGAATGCCCAAACAGGTACCCGGACAGAAGAACAGAGCAGGGGTGCAGAGGAGATGTCCTGTGTGTGCTGAGGGCACTGCAGCCCTCCATGGTGTGGAAATCCCTGCCCAGCCTGGGCAGCAGGGCCGTGCTGAGCAGAGGGGGTGCAGTGTGGCAGCACGCTGTGCCAGCTCTGCTGGGCCCTCCAGGGGGCTGGAGACGGATGGAGGGGCAGGGCAGGGAGGAAGGAAGGAAGGAGCCATTCCCAGCCTCAGTGTCTGTGTGTGCCTTGCAGGTGGATTATGACCGAGCGCAGCTGGTGGTGAGCCCTCCGCTCTGCGGCTCGGACACCTACCCCCGGGGCCCAGCCAAGCTACCTCAGAGCCAGAGCAAGGGCAGCTACTCGAGCAGCAGCTACCAGTACCCCCTGCTGTACCACAAGGCTCCCCACCTGCAGCAGCCCGGCTCCCCGTACGCGTCCCCGGGCTCGTACCCCGGCTCCCCCAGCCTGGCGCCGGGCGCGTACCCCCCGCCCAGCTGGGGCTCGTGCTCGGAGCAGGCGCCCTCCAGGGTGTCCCACGAGCAGTTCCGCGCCGCCCTGCAGCTGGTGGTGAGCCCCGGGGACCCCCGCGAGTACCTGGACAGCTTCCTCAAGATCGGCGAGGGCTCCACGGGCATCGTGTGCATCGCCACCGAGCGCCACTCGGGCAAGCAGGTGGCTGTCAAGAAGATGGACCTCAGGAAGCAGCAGAGGAGGGAGCTGCTCTTCAATGAGGTACGGGGCCTTGGGGGTGCCTTGGGCTTTTTGGGTTCAACAGGAGACACGAGGAGCCACATTCATACCTTTCCAAACGAGGTGAGGAGTCCCACACACGTCTGTGCTTGTGTAAATATTGTGTAGCCATTCCAGTTTCAAGTCAGCCACTTCTCCTCCAGGCTTGAAACCTCTGGTGCTGTCCCAGGAAACAGCTGAGAGATGTATCAGCTGGTCCGTGCAGTGTGTCAGCTGCTCAGACATGGCCCTGCTGCCTTTTCTGTCTCCTGGCACAGTTGATTATTCCAGGAGGGAGGATCCAAACTAACCAGGCTGTTCCAGAGTGTGTGTGCTGTATTTCTGGCATACACGTGCTGTTTGTTTCCTCCCTCCTTCCTCTCCTAACCATCAGCGCTCCCTGTGCTTTCTGGATGGTACTAAGCTAAGAGCTGTGAGTCCTTTTCCATGGAACTATCTGTGCTAATTCCCACAACTCCTCTCCTGAGTGCTTGCAGCCAGCTCAGAGCCCACAGCTGCTTATGGGAGACTGTTTTCCCTCTGTATGTTATTTTAAATTTCAGACCACTGGTTTTCATTTGCCATTTTTTCACCCAGTTTATTTGGGGCTTGAGAGTACCTTCTGCAACTTGAAGAGTTTCTCCTTTTTTTAACTTCTTACTCCCTTAAAGCATCTGGTGGGGTGTGTTCACTGCTCCCTTTTTGAGATCACTTGTAAATATCTGATCAATACCAAAGGAAATACCCCAAGGAGGCCTCCTGTGAGAATGAACCTTTTAATTCTATATTTTGTTTCCTATACACTGTGTGTCTTCCCTCAGCACATGACAGACTGGATTCCTTAAAACATCCCATTTTTTAATTACAATATTAAACAGCAAACTTCCCCTTGTTCTTCTTTACACAGTGCAGGATTGTGCTGGTTATTTGGGCTTGGCTTTGCCTCTGCTGGAGGCTGTGCTGGCTCTAACTGAGCATCCCTTGAGCAGTGACAGCTTGAAGCAGGTCCTGCATGCTGTGCAGCACCAAGCTGCTTCCCTGCCACGCTCCAGTCACTCGTGTCATCTGAAAATCTCTTGCAGCAGGGATGGAGTCCCTCTGTCTGTCTGTGGTGGAGCCTTGCCTGGCTGTTCTCTCTCTCTCTCGTGCTTGCCACTCTGGCACCCTCAGTCCCCTGAGGTCACGGGCACTGTCGTGGCTGGGCTGCCCTCACTGTGGTGCCAGTTCTGGGCAGTCCCTTTGGGGTGCATTTTTGTGGGGGCAGGGGAAGGTCTGGCCTTGCCCTGGCAGGGCAGTGCCCTGCTACCTGGCATCCCTGGCACTCTGAGGACAGAGCTTCCTCCACACCTGCCCCTGGAGCCCTGCCCAGCCCCACAGTGGCCAAATGGCTGCAGGTCCCGCCAGGGGAAGGGCCCAGCAAGGCCAAGGGGTATTCAACTTTTCCTTGGACTTTCTGAGCTGTGCTGGAACCCAGGGCTTGGTGGCTCTGTGTGTCCCTTTCTATGTGTTTTCTATTCTTCTCTCTTTTCGGAATTTTTGAGTAACTTAAAATTTAACTTAAAATCTAATTAAAAGCTTATAGTTTGCCAAGATGAATGGGCCAAGTTAATGGGCTTTGAGAAGTGTTTTACATGGATTCAGTGTTGCACAAAACTTTTTACCAAAGTTGTCTGATTTTTCTTAAGTTGCCAGTGAAGTTTTTTGTTGTTTGATCTCTTGAGAATTTCTTGTTGGTATTTCTCCCATGTCTCAAACTCAGAATACACAAAAAGCAGTAGTAAGCCTTTTAAAAGTCTCTCTGAGTGAGTTTTCTGGGGCCTTACTCCAGCATTCTGTTGAAAATCTATGCAAAGTACCATTCACTACGTGATAAAAATGACTTTGATGTATTGAGGGATTGATCAGGTCAAAAAAAGAATCTCTTGCACTGAAAGCAATTGGCAATAAAAAAACAATTAAACAGGTCTGTTCCTGCAGGCTGAAATAAAACAATTATCTACTGTTTATACTCTATCAACTAGAGATTCTTTTTTCCCCCTGATGCATTTACAAGGACTGATGGTTTTATGTACATATTCTGATGTTGTTCACGCGCTGGCGTAAGGATGAGGGAGGATGCGATTCATTGCAGATCCTTCCCTCAGCACGGTGACAAAGGTCTCAACAAGTGTCACTGGAGCCTGTGGCACTGGCAGCTGTCCCTTTGTGCCCCTGCAGGTGGTGATCATGAGGGATTACCACCACGAGAACGTGGTGGACATGTACAACAGTTACCTGGTGGGGGACGAGCTCTGGGTGGTGATGGAGTTCCTGGAGGGCGGCGCCCTGACCGACATCGTCACTCACACCAGGTGGGCTGGGCTGGGCTGGGCTGGGCACACAGACGGCAAACTGCACAGAACACACACAGAAACACTTACAGAACAGAGACCATGCATTTTATGTGTCCTGGAACTGAACCCATTCCTAGCATGCTCGCTGTGCCACCATCAGTAACCAGAGGGGCAGGTGAACTCCTGGGAGCAGCAACATTTGCTGAACCAAAGGGAAAGAAACACCTGGGAGGGCCTGGTGGGGATCTGCTACACTTTGGGAGGTGGTTTAGCACCAACACAGCTCTTATCCATTACTTCCTAAAACGGAAAAAAACAAAAAAAAAAGTTCTTTTTCCTGTTTGGTGATCTGTATTGTTGGGGTTGCTGTCATAACCACGTCTGCTCTGAGGGTGATTTCTCCTCACAAAGGTTATCTGCAAACCAAGCCCAAAATATAAGGGGAAAAGTATTTTTATGTCAGAATATTTTGTGCTTATGGTGGAGCACATTCCCATATTTCAGTTAATATCCCACCTTTAAAGTAGGAAATTAGCCAGCACAAGAGCTGCAGTGTATGGAACTGCTCTGCCTCTTCTGAGGGGAGACATTAGATTTTACAGCCCTCTTTCCACCTGCTCTTTGCTCATCTGCTTCTGATAAGCTGGATAAAATGAGACAGGGAAGAGGGATTCTTTATTTAATTTCTTCTTGAATGAAAGAAAATTAGAATTTCCACACCAAACTAGTGGGAGAATATTTAGGGGAGCAAGAACAAAAGCAGGGAATTGTAAATGAGAAAATTTGTGTTCTCTCCAAGTTAAATGGTGCTCTTAGATCCTACCAAGAGTTAGAACACAGGTGTTTTACTTTTGAGTGTTACCTTAGCTTATGTGCTGAAATAAATCACAGTATTGCAAGTATTTGCCAAACTATTAAAAGCTCTGTCTTGGATGTTTCTGACAGAAGTTTGACAGCAAACAGATGTTCCCAGGACACCACATCTTAAGAGCTGTCATCTATTTTTAACTCAAAACAGTCTTTTCTTAATCTGTTGGGTGTTTTGATTTTTTTTACATTGCATGACCTTCCCTCAAAGATCCTGCTAAAATCTGCAAATGGCACACAAATTAAAGCAGAAATCTCCACAGGTGTTCTTTTGCTGTGTAAAAGAGATGCTGGGGACATCAGGGATGGGACAGTGGCACCAGGGTGCCCAGCCCATCCCAGGGCATTGCACTGTAGCTCAGAGAATGACCCCAGAATGGGGTTTTTCAGCCGTGCACAGAAATGAGGACTCTTGTTTGTTTTTCTGCTGAAATACCCAGAATATTTTTATAGGAAGGCATGAAAGTGCTCTCAAAGAGCTACAACCCAGGGCCTGATGTTTTGCCTACACAATTAAGGGTGCTTTTCCTCATATTTATTCCACACCTGTTCCCATCCCAGTAGCGAAGCCTGCTTGGCAAGCAGCGAGCTTACTGTAAATAAGGCATTTCTGTGATTTCCCAGAGGGAGCTTTCTGTGCTTTCCCCGAGACCCCAGCACATGGCACACCCGGCTGTTGACAGTAATGCAGAGCTCGCTGCAGGGCTGGTCCCCACGGCTCAGCTCGCAGAACCAGGAGCAGAGATGGCCCCAGAGGTGCTGCAGGCAGATCTCCCGGCCAGGGCTGTGCTGGAGGCGGTGCCTGTCCCCTGCCCAGGCTGAGCTCTGTGTGTGTGTGTGTGTGTGCTGTCCTTGCAGGATGAACGAGGAGCAGATCGCCACGGTGTGCGTGTCCGTGCTGCGCGCCCTGTCCTACCTGCACCACCAGGGCGTCATCCACCGCGACATCAAGAGCGACTCCATCCTGCTGACCAGCGACGGCAGGGTGAGCCTGCGCTGTGTCACAGCCTGGCAGCGGCACTGCCACGGCGGGTGCCAGTGACACACAGGGAGAGCCCACGGAGGGGGGGATGACTCGGGGGAGAAGCTGAACCCAAGGAACACGGGCCTGGCCTCACCGGTGATTGGCATCTGTGCTGCAGGCAGAGTCCTGCGGAGGAATGGAGCCTCAGAGGCAGTGGCAGTAAAGATGATGATCTGGTGATGGGAGACCTCTCTTTGGGTCTACAGATGCCTTTCAACAACACTTTCTTTTTACCACACTTAGTTATCATTTACTCAGCAGTTTCAGTACATGTGCTCTGCTTCCCCAAGCTGGCTGGGAGGCCAGCATCAATCTATGCAAATAGGAAATAATCTGCATTACTGCTGAAATCCTCCCCAGATGGTAAGAGTAGCTTTCACACTTTTAAGATGCTTGATAAAATCTGTCCCACACTTCCATGTACGTTACTTGCTGTGCCTTTGTTTTGTTAATGAGCAGGGGGAGAAGGGGACAGAATGCTGCACAAGGCTTGCTCACTAAACAAAACGTGGTTTGCACACAAAAAAATTAGGGTTGCTCCACTGGCCTTACACACCTGTCTAAGGCAAGACCTGTGGGTTGGACTGAGCCCAAGAGCTTTGGTTTGGCAGCAGATCCAGACCTTCCCCTTCCCTAGGTGAAGCTCTTGGCTCCCCAGGCCTGGTCTGACTCAGTAGCCAAAGGCTGGCCTGTCCAATTTGATGCCCACTCACCAAGGGAGAGGGATTTCCTTCCTGCTGCAGCCACAGGCTGCTCCTCTTAGTCCTGTCAAGGAAAGCCAATCCCACGTGTGCAGGAGTTGTTCAGTTGTGATTTCAGTTCATGTTGCTGGAATAACATCTCATCTGTGCTCAGGATCTGCATACAGTGCCTCATTATACTCATTACTCCAGTCCTTATTATCTGCATTGCAGATTTCTTCATGGCTGTGTTGTGCAATTATCTTTTTTTAGAAAATCCTCATCTTTTATGTACTCCAATGAGCAATAGATATGCAAAACCTCTTGTGCTCCTACAAAAGAAGATTGGGCTCTGCTTCCAAAATATGCATTATTTCTTCCATTCTTCATCCTGTAAACTGAAAAATACATTTAGCGTGGAGCACTTGGCTATTATTGGCTTTGTTTTAGAAATACCAACAATCATTTCATAATTCTGTTAAAAATAATATCCGTATCTTTTTAAAAAAGTAATGTCTGTGCTGAATCCAAAAGTGAGTGCTGACAATAAGTCTACACAATGCAGGGATTTATGCAGCTTCCCACTCCAGCTGTCCTGGGGCTGTTTGGGCTCCCTCTGTATCCCCAGACATGGAGTACTTGATGGGATACACAGCCTGGGGACCTGGGCCATGGGTCACCATTGGACTGAGCAGTGATGGAGGTCAGGAAAATGTCCAGGAACATCCCTTGGAGAGCTTCCAGGCCTCCAAGTAAGTACTTGGAGGGGTAAAAGACTTTAGCCTTAAGGATCAAGCTGTTTCTGGAAGGGGGTGATGCCACCAACCCTCAGACCAGCTTGTTGTGGAACTTTCACCTTGGCATTGTACAGCGACAGAGAGGGGGAGGTGATAATGTTCCATAATTTTTGTTGTTAAAAAAAAACAGTCATAAAAGTGTGAGCCAGGCACATGATGCAGCAGGAGCTGCTCTCGGGAGTGCTCGTGTATCCCATAATTTCTATTTCAGGTCACTGCCACAGCTGCTCAAGGACAGCACTGATTCCCGAGCTGCCAGCAAAGGGAACAGGTTCACTCTTTGGCAAGGAGTCCTGTACCCTTCCTGCCTCCTCCAGCTCCGCTCTCCTGCTGCCCAGAGATGGCAGCTCCTTCAGTGACACCCACAGTGGGAGTCCTGGGCCTGGCAGACCCTTGGAAGGGGTTTATTTTCTGTGGGTGATAAAAAGGAGTGGGGTGGGTGTCACTTGGGATATGTGTATTACTGGGTATCACATGTATATAACTACAAGCATGGGAGCTCTGTTTGGAATATTTTGTTTTCCTTTATTTTTAAATGTTATAAGCCATCTATCACCTCCCCATCCTTTGCTGGTGGAGAGGCAATGGGCTGTGACAGATGACATCAGGAATGAGCACCAGTGCCCCCTCCTCCATCTCCCCTTCATTTTAATGAGCTATGTGTTCCCCAGGCTGGGCTCCCATCCCAGCCCCTCCTCCAGAGCTGGGCTGCTGTCCTGTTACTCAGGAGGGGCTTTTTCTTCTTCTTTTCACAGATAAAATTGTCTGACTTTGGGTTCTGTGCCCAAGTGTCAAAGGAGGTCCCCAGGAGGAAGTCCCTGGTTGGGACACCCTATTGGATGGCACCAGAGGTGATATCCCGCCTGCCCTACGGCACTGAGGTGAGCACAGGACACTCCAGAGGGGTTATCCCAGCTCCCTGTGGCACTGAGCTGGGCACAGGACACTCCAGAGGGGTTATCCCAGCTCCCTGTGGCACTGAGGTGAGCACAGGACACTCCAGAGGGGTTATCCCAGCTCCCTGTGGCACTGAGCTGGGCACAGGACACTCTAGAGGGGTTATCCCAGCTCCCTGTGGCACTGAGCTGGGCACAGGACACTCCAGAGGGGATTCCCAGCTCCCTGTGGCACTGAGCTGGGCACAGGACACTCCAGAGGGTTATCCCAGCTCCCTGTGGCACTGAGCTGGGCACAGGACACTCCAGAGGGCATGTCCCAGGAGGGGATATCCCCAGTCCCTGCAGCAGCCAGGTGAGCACAGCAGGCACTGCAGGAGGGATATCCCAGCCCCATGGAGCTGTGTCAGAGCTGAGCAGGTCAGGAACGTTTGCACAGCTGTGCTAAATTGCAGTGATTCCGTTTGCCCCAGAGTGCAGCATCGAGCCTGGTTTGGAAGTGTTTCCCCAGGATGGAGTTATTAAATAACAACTCCATTCAGCACTCCCAGCAGTGCAGTGCTTTTACATATTTGAGCTTGGGGTGCTGCAGTGAAGGGAAGTGCCCCCATTTGCACACTGTGAAAGGCCCCGTGCTGCTGTTGAACACCGAGCCTGCAGGCTGGAGCTGCACTCACAGGTGTGCCCTGCTGCCTGTGCCAAAGCAGCAGCCACCTCACACACCCCCTGCCCAGCCCAGTGCCACCAGTGTGTGCCAGGGCCACTCTGCCCTCATCCTGCCCTTGCCCCCCAGAGGAGAGGAGAGCCAGGGCAGCACCCGGGGCCAGCTGGGTGGGCTGCACCTCCACCCTCTGTGGTAGGACTGCTCTCCATCCATGGGCTCCTTCCTTGCAGTCATTGCTGGCATCAGCTGGGACACGGGGGTGGGAAAAGCCCCTCTGTGGGAGCTGTTTCAGGCACTGCCTGATGTTCTGGGAGAGGCAAGGCACACGTTTCACTGGAAGCCTTCAGAGGAGCCCGGCAAGGAGGGAGCTCTGCAGTGCCACAGCCCGTGCACAGGCAGCTGTGAGTGACAGAGGGGACCCGGTGACAGTGACACACCCTCCCCTGCAGGGACACAGCTGCTGCAGAGCTCGGCCCTGGCAGCCAGCAGAGGCAGGACTCGGGATGGTCACACACAGCTTCACTGCACGTACCTGCACAGAACACATCTACAAATACAGATGTGCTCAGGGAAGGGAGATGAGATGAGCAGGAGCTGCTCCGTCCTCACACTGCTGTGGCACGGCACAGTATGAGCACCCTGCAGGCACTGCTCTCCACCCAGGATCTGTGCTGCTGGAGAAGACATTCCAGAGATAATAGCATCAACTATTATTAGCCCATTAATAGCTTAGGGGGATTATAAAGTGGCTGAACTTAGGGCTGCATTAAGTTTCCCCATCAGAAGGGAAAGGGGAAAAAAAAAGAATTTAAGCTAAAGGATCGTGTTGGCAAAGGAGCAAAAGCAGAATGAACTGGCCCTGGCTGTATTTGGGTTGGCAAACGACAGGAATTACAGTCATCAGAGGACTGGGATTCTGAAGCAGCTCTGCAGCAGGCCAGGACTAAGAAAAGAAAAAAAAAGTGGTTTTTTTGAGCTGGAGCTGAATCACTTTCCAAAGGTGTTACATAATGTGCTACCTGTGCTGGCTGTAAACAAGCCTGGCTGTAGTGAGTGCTTGCATTTGCCTCGGGCTCTGGAATGGAGTTCCCATAGTCTTTCAGCTCCAGGGGAACAGAGTTAGTGATTCCACAGCAGCTGAAGTGTTCCCTGCTCTCCAGCAGCTGCAGGGCCGGCCTGGGGGGGCGCTCAGTGCAGGTCAGTGCAGCTGGAATGCAGGGCAGCAGGACACAGCCTCTCCAAGGGTGCAGCTTCCAGTGGGCAGCACCTGAGGCAGCTGCAGAGCCTGGAGTGTGAGCCCCTGCTGGCCTGGTCTGTCAGGCCCTCACTGCCAGAAGGAAAGCCATGGCTGGCTGGTAAAAAAGAGCGATGGATGGAGCTGGTGCTGGCCGGGCAGGCAGCAGCAGGAGCCAGTGCAGTGCCAGCAGTGCCCCTGAGCCCTGTGCTGTTGCAGGTGGACATCTGGTCCCTGGGCATCATGGTGATGGAGATGATCGACGGGGAGCCGCCGTACTTCAATGAGCCGCCGCTGCAGGCCATGCGCCGCATCCGGGACAACCTCCCGCCCCGCGTCAAGGACACACACAAGGTCAGCCTGCCCTGCCACCAGGGCCTGCCACTGCCAGCACACCCTGCCCACCCAGACCCTCACTCTCACCTCCAAGGGGCCACTGGAGCAGTGGGTGCCACACAGGGCTCCTGGGGGGGGGAAGAGAGGCCGAAGCCATCGGTCACGGCCTTGTTTGTGCCTGACCCTGGCACTGCTTTTGCACCCAGAGATGGCAAAGGGAGCTGAGCACAGCCCCAGTCGCCCTGTGCTTCCCAGCCTGCCCGAGGACCAGAGCAGCTGAGCTCACTGCCCTGCTGCAGGTGGGCTGGTGCATCCGTGTGAGGCACCAAAGCCTTGGGGCCCCTCTCAGTTAGGGGGTGTTTCCATCAGACCCAAGCCCTCAGCCTACCTTAATGCTGTTCCGTACCCCAGGGACACCCAAACACTGCAAACACCAGCAAAGACCCACAGCCCTTCTGCTCAGCACAGCTGCTGCAGTGGGGAAGATCAGGGTCCCTTTCCTCCCCAGTAAAACAGCGTGCCCAGAGCAGCACAGCCGGAGGGGGTGTGTGCCACCCCTAATGCCCGTGCGGTGTTTCAGGTCTCGTCGGTGCTGCGGGGCTTCCTGGACTCGATGCTGGTGCGGGAGCCCTCGCAGCGAGCCACGGCGCAGGAGCTGCTCAGACACCCCTTCCTGAAGCTGGCAGGGCCCCCCTCCTGCATCGTGCCCCTCATGAGGCAGCACAGGCACCGCTGAAGGGCTGCTGGCAAGGGGCAGTGCAGAGCCCGGCTCGTGGCGTGCGGGACCCGCAGGCAGGGAGGAGGAGCAGCAGCAGCAGAGCCTTGAGGAGGAAGGCAGCCCTGAGGAGACGCTGCCGCGTGTACAGAGAGCCCCGGGGCAGGCAGCGCTCCCTGCTCCCACTGTGCCAGGGACAGGAGCAGGCCAGACACCAGGGCTGCCAGGCAGGGCACACCCACTGCCAGCCTGGGCGAGGCAGCACGGAGCCAAACAGCTGAGCTGCACCGCGGGCTGAGGCACCTCTGGCTCAGAAGAACACTTTTCTGACAAACAAAGCACTTTTTATCTCAGCCAGAGCAGCGCAATGTATTTTGCAAGAAGTTTGTAATTTTCTGTACAGTACGTTTTGATAACTTGCAGTACTTTGTCATGTACCTGTTGTGTTAGTTAAGTAATAAGTGTAACTTGGAGAATTTGAGAAGATGAAGTTTCCTACTTTTTTAAACCCTTTTGAAAACAGGAGAAAAAAAAAAAAAAGAAACCACAGTCACCTTTAGGAAGTTGTAAGGTTTTGCAGGGTTCCCATGGGGGGCTCATCCTGCCCTCAGGGCAGCTGAAGAGCCAGGGATGGCTGACGGTGGTGGGAGAGCCTGGCCTGGGGCACTGGGTGACAGAGGCAGCCCAGCCCAGCCCAGCCCTGGCCAGGGCCTCCCTTGCCCCTGGCTGGGAGCCAAGAGCCCTGCCCAGCCTTGGCCCAGGGGCCTCCCAGGCTGGGCTGACCCTGCTCTTGCCATGCCACCACAACGCCTGCTCCAGCACCACAGCGGCCCCCATGACTGCTGAGAGCAGCAGCTGCTCCTGCCAGCCCACAGGGAGCCCCAGAGCTCGGGCAGAGCCCTGGAGGGGATGGGTTGGGATGAGCTGCCAGCGTTTGCCAGAGAGGAGGAGTCGTGCTGCTGTCTAGACCTTTCTGAATGTTGATGCAACAGTTGACTACTGCGGTACAATTTTGTGTTATTTGTTGGATGACTTTGCATGTTAACTGTAGGCCTAAATAGATTTGCCTTTAAAATTTTTAGAAGTGCTTCATAATTATTTCGATGAGAAACTAATTTTATTTATTAACGATTAGTTGTTTTTTAATTCTGTATAATACAAAAGCCATGTTTTTCAAGTTTGTTTTTTTTTTTCTTACTGACCTCATTTTATGGTATCTTTAAGAACCACAAAGCCAACTTGGTGAAAACACAGTTTTTTTCTTATTATGAAATTTCATAGTTAATAAATTAATTGTTATTTATTGTAGTAAATTATAACCAAACATCTAAACACCTGGCAGGAGCTGTTGCTTAAAGATCTTCCTCTGGGAGAAAAGAGTTGCCAATAGTAAAGAAGCTCCTTTAGTTCTGCCCTTAAAGAATATTTGGAGGGAGAGAAGCAATTAAAAAAAAGGCAAAAACGAGATAAGGATGACCTGGAACATGGAAGAGCTGTTTTACATCAGTGTCTTATCCCCACTGCTCTCTCTCCCTAGCCCTGTTTGCACATTTGAAGGAGACACTGAAGAAAATGTTTGGCTCCCAGAGCCCACCCAGCAGGGAGCACCCCCAGCCTCCCAGGGCTCTCTTTTGTAGTCTTGACAACTCAGGAAACCAGGCTGCACCAGTCCAGGCAACGGCACAACTTAATACTAGCTACAAAATTACCTTTTTTAACCATCTTTGAATAAAAAAGGGGGTTGGTGGGAGGTTTTTCTTCAATATTCAGCACATTTTAGGCTGTACAAGTGAAGAATTTTCTGCAACTTTCTTATCATTAGATACTTTAAGCAGTGTTCATCGAGTTTACTGAGAGTTTTGTCAATTTCAAAGGGGTTTTTTTGTGAGCACCAGCTACTGGTGAAACAAATGCACATGCAAGTTCAATAAATTAATTAATAAACACTTTAAGTTTCAGTGTGGTTTTTTGTTCCCATGCCTTTTTTCTACTTTATAGATTTGACCCAGTCTCACAGTACTGGACCAAGCAGATAACAAAGAAAAAATGTGTTCTTATAATATCTATTATATTCTTTTATATACATATATATATTGTTCTTATAATATGTATATTATAATATATATAACAAAGAAAAAAGTGTTCTTATAATATATATTATAAGACAAGATACCCAAGACAAAACACCCAAGATACACATGTGTATCATACACATAGATATATATAATAGTGATTTATAGAGCTGTCCTAAGTGATTTCTAAGTGTCAGTGCATTCCCACCTCCCTTTCTCTATCCCCTAAATAATCCCTACTGACACATTCCCAGTTTTTAGCTCCCAGCTGTTGGTCTCTCACACCTACAGACAGCAGTTGTTCCCAGTTTCCCCAGCAGCACCAGTCAGCTGGTGAATCTACAATGTTATTTGCTACCTTCAAGTCTTACAGGCGAGGATTTCTATTACTTTTGGTTTCTGACATCAGTAAATACTTCCAAATACATTGAAAAAATGTAATGCCATCACCTAGAAACAAACAAATAAGGATGTGAAGAGCATCCATTCACTCAGAAGCTGAGGCTGATACTCCAGTGAATGATTCCCACCTGTCACTAGGGAATGGTGGCTATTTCTGAGCTCACACTTCTAGAACTACTCCCAAACACTCCCCACCATGGTAGCAGAGGCCAGGACAGTTCCTGGCTATGTCAGCCCCCTCCTCAGCAATACATCAATAATTTATAATTAAAGTTCTAATCACAAGTACTCTGTAAGTCATTAGCAGCTGCTTTAGTAAGTGCCTAATTATTACAGGTCCTTGCAGAGCTCAGTAGGGTGATAAGGTGTATTTATCCACCTTCTACTGCTGTGTTCATAAACATCTAGAAAGCAAAGCTTTCAATTTGCAGCTCACCCATAAAAAGCCATCAATAAATGAAAGCTAAATACAAAATTAAATCACAACAAAGTGCTGCCATCCTGAAGATGCTGCTGCAGTTTGACAGGCAGGAGGGAAGTTGGACATAATCTCTCTCATAAATAATTTTTCATAAATAGGCTTGAAAGGCTTAAAGCAATGGAGAATTCAGATCAATTTTAGTAAATGTGAACAAAAGGATGGGGAGAATGAAAAGATTTTAAAAGGTTTTCATCCAAAAGCTTAAATAACATTTTTTTCAACCAAGATGCATCAGTCTGGGACACAAGCTGTCCCTGACATTAAATTATTGTTTCTTTTTCCTTTCTTCCCTAAAAAGCAAAAACATTTCAGTTCAACCAAAAAAATATTTTCTGTCAGTTCAGAAAATCAAGAAATTAATTATTGCATTCCTGTGTTCCTAATAGCTCACAGACATACCCCCTGAAGGTGATGCCAGGTGCTTCCTAAGGGAAACCCTCATGTGCCAGGAAGAGCAGCAGAAGCCCTTCAGGCAGGCACAGGAGCAGCTTCAGCTTTTGGGGCTTGTCCCCATCCAGTGGCCCCTGCCACCACCTCAGGGCTCTGGGGTCAGGCAGGGCCAGTCCCTGTGAGGGCATTAAGGACAGGTCACAGAGGCCACCACAAGCAGCCTTTTTTCCACCTGAAATCCACACAGCCCTGCTGTTGGGGAGCAGCTCCCTGTTGCAGCAGGCAGGTGGTGCTCACAGGAGAGGGCACAGCAGGGACTGCCAGCAGCTGGGCAGGGCACACTCCCCCAGAGCAGCCTGGGCACGGTGTCCCCAGCCACTGCCTCTGCTGCAGCCGCACTCAGCAGCCCAGCCGAGCCCCAGCTCCTGCTGCCCTCGGCAGCCACGGGAGCCCCCCCAGCCACTGCCTCTGCTGCAGCCACACTCAGCAGCCCAGCCGAGCCCCAGCTCCCGCTGCCCCCAGCAGCCACGGGAGCCCCCCCAGCCACTGCCTCTGCTGCAGCCACACTCAGCAGCCCAGCCGAGCCCCAGCTCCTGCTGCCCCCAGCAGCCACGGGAGCCCCCCCAGCCACTGCCTCTGCTGCAGCCACACTCAGCAGCCCAGCCGAGCCCCAGCTCCTGCTGCCCCCAGCAGCCACGGGAGCCCCCCCAGCCACTGCCTCTGCTGCAGCCACACTCAGCAGCCCAGCCGAGCCCCAGCTCCTGCTGCCCTCAGCAGCCACGGGAGCCCCCCCAGCCACTGCCTCTGCTGCAGCCACACTCAGCAGCCCAGCCGAGCCCCAGCTCCTGCTGCCCTCAGCAGCCACGGGAGCCCCCCCAGCCACTGCCTCTGCTGCAGCCACACTCAGCAGCCCAGCCGAGCCCCAGCTCCTGCTGCCCCCAGCAGCCACGGGAGCCCCTGAACTCCCCCTTCCCAGGGAGGAAGGCAGGCAGGCAGGCAGCCAGGTGGGAATGTCCTCTGAGTGACTGCGAGGGCTCCATCTCTCCACAGCCCCTTGCCAGAAGGGCCTCTCCAGGAGACAAAGAGCACTGGAGGGGCTCCTCTGGCATCTGCAGCTCAGCTGTTGGCTTCCTTTGTGTGTTTGATTATTCTTTGGGAGGTCACAGTGGCAGATGTGCCAGGCTGATGGGAGCTGGCTGGGAGAGCCTGCCTGGCCCCAGGGCAGACAAGGGTGAGGCAGGACAAAGCTCCTCTCTATTAAGGATGAACCTTTAATCCTTTTATTCACCCTCCTGCTACCTCTGGCTTTTTCTAACTGCCTCTAAAAGAACCTTTTATTTTCTTTTTTAATTACCAGCTTATTGTAGGCAGTGGCACTTGGTCAGTCTAAAGCTCACCCAGGACCCTTTCAGTGCAGTTCTAAAGGAAAAGGGCAAAGCCACTATCATTGTTAGTGCCATAATTTTGCTTTTTGCATCCAAATGAGAAAACAGCTGAGCATAACACAGAAATGAGACCAGGAATGAGGCAGGACTAAAGGAAGGCTTGTGCTGCATCCACCTTCATCAAAAAACCCATACATTTTGGAGGAGACTACAGCATTAAAGAACAGTTAAGTTTCTTCTCTTACCTTTCTCCAACATTGAAAAGACTATTTTTGATTGAGTTTTAAGCTG